ATTGTTACGATCAATCATTCTAAATACATAACTAAAACTTTAAACCATCATTAAATTAAACTCTCCAAAATATTAAACAGGACAATCTTTTATAAAAAAATTAAAATTTTATCTTTTTCATACAAAGTCTTTAATCCCGTTGCATAGCAAAATCAGTTTATACCCAATAAAAAATATTATTTTTTCATTATGTATTTTAAATATGATATTATATAAATAAATAAATAAAACTTTAAACAAATTTAAATAATTTTARGCATAATAAAAYAAAGAACATATATCATATAATTTAAATAATTTTAGGCATAATAAAACAAAGAACATATATCATATAATTTAAATAATTTAATAAAAACAAACAAATACACATATAAAAACAAAATAAAATGTGATATTTGTATGTGTATTTATTTGCTTTAAAAAACGTTAAATGAGATATAATATGTAGATGAGATAAAAAATGGAATAGAAAACGAAATGTTTAGAACATTTATGAGTTAATGAAAGATAATTAATATAACCAACAAAATAAATCCAAAATAAATCTAAAAATTTGAAAAAAAATGAATTATGAAATAATTTTTCCATAAAGTGTCACATAAGATACTTCATGTTTTACTTTTAGATTTATATAAAATAATGATGTCAAATGCTCAATTAAGGACATCTATGGCTTGGAAAATTATTTTGGAGAAAATAATGAAATACACATTTTCATACATAAAAAAATATTTAACTTATTTAACATTTCATAAATTAAAAACAATGAGAAAATCTCTTTTAAAAATCATTTTGTGACAATGTGCCACACAATTTATTGTAAGTTTTGTTAGCTTTATTATTCATCTCTTGTAAAAGTATAGAAAAAGTATTCTGCAAGTGTTGACAGAAGGGTATCTTCCACAGAAGACAACAAAGGACTAGCAACAGAAGCTGTTTCATCGTACAAGTAAAATGTGACAGAACCTCTGATGTCTCTCACAGAGGTTCTGGAAAATGGTCCTCTGACAATAAGATCATACAAGTCAATTACAGCAGAGCCTCTGGGATGACTCACAGAGGGTCTGCGGATTTCGTCTTCTGTGAAGATCTTGTTCTACTGTTTTTCAAAGGTTGTTAGCTGCATGTGCTTCTCACGTGACTAGGACTTAATCGACTTTATTTGGACGACTTAGATGATTTCACGTGTCAAGATCTTGTCAGTAAGGTCGTTAGGAACTAGTATAAATAGCGGCTAAGGCCTTTGTAATCAGTGTGCTTCCGTATTGTAATCGTCTTATTTTCAATTGAATGAATTGAAAAACCTTTGAAGCTATTCTCCTGTGTTCATCTTATTCATCATCTTAACTGTGTGTTCTTGGTTTAATTACTCTGTTTTGTTCTTATATTTGTTTCCGCTGCACTTTAATCGTCTTAGAGTTCATTCAGAGTAACAGATCATTATCAAAGCTGAATTTACAGGTCCAACAAGTTTATTTTAATTAGTAGATGAAAAGATGAAAATAACATAATGAATGTCCCTATGAAGTTATGTAATGTGAAGGTTAAAGCTAATTAAGTTGAAAGAGGTCAAAAAAGTCTTCTTATAATGGAATACATATTTATCATTTAGGGATAGAATAATATAACTTATTTAATATTATAAAAACATTGACAAATCATGGATGAACACATGAAAATGTTTAGAGGTTTCATCTCCAAAAATGAAGAGGAAAAGATTGGAGGTTAAGCTTTTTAAAATTACCAAAACAACCTTATTGATGATTATTGTGAATGGAGTTTAAATTTGTTTTTTATAATATCTTGTAATCATAACTTATCAAAACTTTATTCGAATTTATATGATCAAATCGCAAACACAATCATGTCTTACGATAACAACAAATCCAACAATATTGAAAGAAAAAATATGTAATAACAAATCACATTTTATAAATAATATAATTTTTACATACATTTTAAAAAAAATTAAGTTTTCTTCAACTTTTATTTCTTCATTACTCACGAAATGATTTTTGTCAATTGAAAAAATCATGAAGTAGTCAAAATTTAAATTATCAATCACGTRTATAAATAGCTATTGTTAATGAAGCTTAAATTCGAAAAAAGTTTATCATATCTTGTGATTACAAAATATCAAAATTTTATTCAAATTTATATGATCAAATCATAAACACAATTTATATGATTTAATCATAAATACAATCATATATATCCTATGATAACAACAAATCCAACAATATTGAAAAATAAATATGTAATAACAAATCACATTTTTAATGAATATAATTTCTATATACCTTTTAAAATCTTTGAATTCTTCTTCAAGTCTCACATTCTTCATCCTTCACCAAATGATTTTCTAGGATTTTATTTTGTTTATTATTGAAACTTTAAAAAACAAATTTCATTTAAGAAATAAAAGAAAGTAAATGAAAGAGCAAATCAAGAGTTGGAGGTTAAACTTGGGTATATAAAATTACAAAAATAACCCAGTGAATTATGAGCTATATATTTCTCATCCAGGGGCAAAAAAGTCTTTAACATATTCAACATTTAAAAAAATCAAAAAAATGAGAAAAAGATAGGGGGAGTTCTAAGTATTAGAATGTGTCACCTCATTATGCTTGGTTTCTCCTTTAATATATATATATATATATATATATATATATATATATATATTTAATATATTTATAAATTATCTGAGAATTAAAAACTCTTTTTGTTAGGGTGTATGCGAGTTGGGTTGGACGGTTTACAACATTTTTACATAAATTTGCAATTATGGTGGTTTAGGAAAATCTCAACTCAACCCAACTCATTCAAAAGTATAACCCAACCCTTGCAGATTGAGGCAGATTGGCTTGAGTTAGCGGGTTAATAGTTACATAAATTTGACGAATTAAATTATTCATAAAACACAAGTTTATAGACCATACTATAAAACATCCTATCTAAAAAAATTACAATAGGTTTATAGGACACATTTGGATGTTTCAACAAGTGTTTTAGAATGATCTTTAAATAAAATGTCGTATTAGTTATTTTATAAAATTCTTTTGAGAAGTGTCCCGTAAACTCATCTATTTATAGAACACCTATGTTCATGTGACGTTTCTTCAAGTCGTGTCGTATAAAATGACTAATACGACACTTTATTTTAAAAGTGTCGTAGAATTTGTTAAGACGCCTAAAATCATCCTATAAACATATTGTAACTCTTTTAGATATGACAATTTTCTTGTTTCGTCCTATAAAATATCATATTAGGACACTTATACATTTTAGGCATTCTATAAGATCTAATGCTGTTGTAGCGAAATGTTATAACTAAACATTTTCTTTCCATTAAAGCACAACATAAAATGACGGGGGATTTGGATTGATGGATTCGTCAATCAAATATCTATCAATATCATTCATGTTCTTCAACATATCAACTTGTTGCTGCTGCAAAAAAAATTTCAATAATTTTCTCTTATTAATTAGATTATTTGTCATCATTCTTTGATCATGAATATCTTTTGGTAACCTATACATTTAGCTAAAATAAAATACAAACATAATATCAATAAAAATTATACATTATTAACATATATATAAAAATAAAATTTTATAAAGTTTATATATTAGCAGCAGGTTGGGCGGGTTGAGTTAAGCGCAACCCAATTTCAACCCTCCTAATTGGCGGGTGGACGGTTTGGGTTTAATTGAGTTGTTAGTGGGTTGAATTGGACGAGTTTCACATATTGATAGTTTTTTGTACATCCCTACTTTTTGTTGAACTGAATAATCCAAAACCAATTAAAGAGCCGTTTACTAAACACTTATTTGGTAAGTGCTTATCAGATAAATTCTCTCATCGGATGAAGATGAAAAGGGCAAAAAAATCTTAGAGGGTAAGAACGATGAGAAAGATGAAGAGTCTTACCCGGTAAGTGAGAATGACAACTCTTACCCAGTAAATTGTTGCATGATATGTTTTGATGTACTAAAATCTCACGCATCAAAACAAATCATAGTGTTGACTCTTATCGGTAAGCGCTTACTGGGTAAGCATTTGGGTAAACGGTCGAAAAAAAACTCATTAAATTATCAGTAATTTCAAGAACAAATAAACCAAAATAAATAAATCTAATAAATCAATCCATGCATTCGACGTTGGTAACGTTGTTATCCCTTTTTCATTTTGCTTTTTCTTAGTGCTTCCACTTTTTTGAATTTTGGGTCTTTGTTCAATCCAATTTTATAGCTGCTTGTGACTCCATTGATGAGCTTAATTAGAGTTCTTAAAACGGTATGTTTGAACTTCCTCTGTTTTAATTCTTATTTATTTACGATTTTTCTGGTCTTCTCCGTTACTGATTATGCTTCATTTTATCATAAACTCACTTCTATCTTCAATTTTATTTGAAGAATGTAAAATAGGTCATTGATTGTTTGCACGAATGTGATCGAGTACAACTGCATGTGTTGCTGTTGCCCCCAAATTACTAACATAAATTCATCATTACATATTCTATATCAACTGTTTTTGCTGTTTGAGAGTGTGTTTTCTAGTTCTGTTCATGTTCGATAAAAGGAAATTGTCGTAATTTTGATGATGAGGTTGGTGGTAATTGTGGATTTTCCCTGTTTAACCTACGGTTGTAGGTCAATTTTTTCTTGCATAAAACGTTAAAATTGATTCTCCTTTTCTCCTGGAAGAAACTTTTACTACTTTTGATATGGTGAAATGATGATAAGAATGGAAAGGGCTCATTCAAATAAGATTACTGTTGTATATTTGGATTCAGCGGGTATTCCAACACAATATAAACCATTCTATAGAATCATTTGCTTTTTATTCATCAAGGGAAGTTGCTTTTGCTTCTTTTGTTCTACTTTTGGCATTCCAACTTGTGGTAGATGTAGATTAGATTCAGCTGGATGTTCTTATTCTTGTTTTGATATCTCTCATGCAACTGTGACATTTGATGTTTGATAGATGGATGCTGATGAAAAAGATGAGGTGCCAATGTTAACAAATACAGACCGGTCAGCCGATAGAAATGAGAGTAAGCTACAGCGAAGGTTGTCATACAGGAACAGAAGTGTTACAATATCCATCCCACCGAGCTCCAGTGAATTGAATCCCAGTTCATCAAGGCCTGTCTGCTTTACAGGTCCTTTGTTTTGTGGAAGAAAAAACCAGAGAGAAGGGAATCCCTCACAGTCCAGCCATGGTGCCATTGGGGTTGAAAGGAGAGAGCATGTGAAACAAGAAAACATTATAATGCATAACCTTCGACTGGGAGATCATAAAAATGAACACTTATTGAGGTCAGGACAATTGGGGATGTGCAATGATCCTTACTGTACAACATGCCCAAGTTCTTTCAATTACAAGGAACAGCTGAAGAACTCAAAAGAGGTACAAAAAAACCGAACCCTGACTGATCCCTCTTAAATCAGACCGGTTCTTCTTAAATCAGACCAAGTCAAGACTGGTCCTTCCACCCAGACCTTGAACTGGTTCGTGCCTGTCAGACCTGATTGGACTTGTACAAGTCCAGATGGGGGCTTAACCTGGCCTGGTCCTTATTTTATTAATTTATATATTTAATTATGGTTACATGATTCTTGATTTAGCGCAGCGGAATACTGACTTCAGTTCTTGGGCTACCGCTCTGTGTGTATGTCTTTCAGATTTAGTAACTCCAAGTGGTTTGTAGCCGAATAGCAACCCACCCCCCATTGCTTAGATGATGGTGGTTCCATTTCTCCATCCCCGAAAAGTTTCCAAAACAAACATTACAACCCTTTTAAAGGAAAGTAATATTAGTAGTAGTACTACATACTTCTTAAAAGGGTCCTTAGATCTATATTCGATGACAACAACAAGATGCCCAGTATAATCCACATGGAGGTGGGATGTTTAGGGGAAGGGTGTATGCATACTTGTCCTCTACCCGAAGAGTAGTTAGACTGTTTCCGTGAACCACCCCCCTTCTTATGTGAAATGTGTGAAAAAGTGAGTTCATTCAAAAAAGTTTTGAGGAATTAGAAAAAAAAAGAACAAATAGTTGAATCAGATGCTATTATAGCAGCTTGAATGCTTATATGATTACCATTGGTGCTGTCTCAATTGCCTGGATCATTGGTCTTGTTCGGCATGTTTAATTCACTTCATATAAATCGTTGTTTCTTTTTTATTAACATAAAACTATTTTTCTCATGTACTTATAATCTCCTTTTGATTGCTTAGTTTGTTAGTAAATTTTTTCCTGATCTTTTGCAGCATCATGTAAGAGGGTGGGCAAGAAAAAAGTTATCCTTGTTGAAACAGTTCACATTTGGGGTCATGAATCCACATGCCAAAGTTGTTCAGCAGTGGAACCAATTCATCGTGATTTCTTGCTTGTTAGCCATTTTCATAGATCCCTTATTCTTCTACTTGCTGTCAACGAATAAGGTAAAACTGCATTCTGATATGGAACTAGCATTTTCCGCAGGTTCTGTAGCGTCCAGTTTTGTTGTTTATGCTCATTAATTCACTCATATACTACCTTCTTTTTGTCAAATGAGATGATGCCCTAGAGCTGGGACACTTGAATATGATGGTGTTTGTTTGGAGATATCAAAAGCTTCAATTGATTTCATAGAGCCATAAGGTTGTTTAAACTCATTGAGATACATCTATCTGATGTAACTAACTTGAGAAAGAAGAGGTCTCTACCTCTTTAAATCAATCTGCAATCTACTTGTACAACTACCTAAGCATAATGTACAACTACTTACTGCACAACCTTTCTACACTCCCCCTCAAGTTGGTGCATATATATCATTCATGTCTAACTTGTTTGCAAGAAAGTCAAAAGTTGTTTTCAAAACTGTGGTGGTGGCAACATGTAGACTTTCTCCTCCTGAAGATGAGGTTTAAAGAAGGGAATATTTTCAAAGAACTTTACATCCATGGTGACAAATGGATTTTTCATGCTTGGATTAAAGCATATGAACCCTTTTTGATTTGATGCAAGTTCTACAAAAGCAAAGACACATTTTAGGGCTTTATGATCTAGCTTGCTGATATTCCTGTTTGGGTATTTATAGTCGACATGTGCATACAAGTAATTTGTTCGTATAATTATCTGTACCTGTACGTGAACCTGACTCTGACCCTATATATGTGTCTACATGTGTATACAAATAATTTGTCCGTATAACTACTATGCCCCAGTTTTTCACTTTTGATTGTTTCTTACTTATACATGCTTACTTTTTTGGATGCAGGACAATAAGTGCATAATAATTAGTTGGACAATGATGCTAACCACTGTGGCTTTCAGAAGCATGACGGACCTTATTTACTTCATGCACATGCTAGTTCAGGTAACTACTTAAACACCTCTTTTTAGTAAAATGCTTATCCATTAAGTGGCGGATCCAGAAACTTCTATCATTAGGGGCACATTTAAGAGTGTCAAAAAAAATTCTGAAACCAAATAACTCATTTGAACCAATACGATTTCGGGTTATTTGGTTTCTGGATTAAACGATTCAGTTATCGAATAAATATAACTTATTCGGTCTGGTTTTCAATTAATTTTTGACTATTTCGGATTAACCGAGACATCATATTGCCATATACATATTTTAATTTTCGGTTAAACCAAAACAAATGAACACACTACACATTAATAGTTGGTAGCAAGAAATTAGAGGGCAAGAAGTCGATAACTTAGATTCAATTAAAAAGAAATCAGATAGCAAAAGGCCAAGAAATCAAAAATAAAAGACAAACTAGTAGCAAATCTTAAATCAAAATAACAAACCCAAATTAACTAACAAATTAAAGAACCTAAATCAAAACAATTAAGAAAGAGAAAATTAATAATTAACAAATAACAATAATTATAAATTTGTAAAACAATAAAATGCAAAAAAGAAAGTTGGAAAAAATCAAAATAGTGATTAATCAAATCATTAGCATTATACCAAACAAAATAAGAAAAATAAAATGATTTTCAATAGATTGAGACTTGGAACTTAAGGACGTTTAATTGATCCTTAAAGTAATGACTCATTGAAGTAAGAGTTATAAATAAGATGCATAAATTTAGATTTGGAACTTTACCTTTAATTGTTGGGGGCCTATTAATAATTTTTGGTTAAATTTTTTTAAAACCTACCACTCATGCTTTATTTGGGTGTTTCTTGAGTTAGTTTGTTGGGGGATTGCCCCCTACCCCTTTAGTGTGCATCCGCCCCTTTATCCATTTCTTTCGCTTCGACCCTAATCTGCCCAGGTTACATGAATTCATTTGAGGATAATCTTAATTTGCACTAACGATTTAAGCAAAATCGAAAACGTATGAACACATAGAATTTGCAACGTCTTGTACATTAAAGTCGACGATGGATGCACTTTTAAAAGGCTCTGGTTACCGCATTAAATGAGCCATTATTGGACGGTTACAAATGGTATCTGCACTAAAGTCAACAAGGTAAAATACCTTCTAAATCTAAGTCCGACCTTCTTTACCTTTAGAACCACTTAATCATTCTACACCAAACTATTCAGAATGAAATATAATTATTTGATAATTACTCAGAATGAAATTAGGGTGCTGAATGGTTAAAGAAGTCCCAAATACAAAATTATTCAGAAGATTTTAGAGCCATTAAAATGCAGATTTTTTTTGTCAAACAAAATTCACAAATCTCTTATTTAAAAATTTCTGATTATGGTAAGTGACGATTAAAAACCGTTGTTTACACAATATTTTGTATTAAGGGTTGCCCAAGTGAAAATGACGATTACACCCCTAATTGTATGCTTATTTATTTTATTCGGTAACTAACAACCATTTCCCCATTCAGTAGTTCTAAGGTCATTCAACCGATCGATCCTTGTAAAAGCCTTCTCTACAAACCCGACTGCCACCAATTCCCCCTTCTATCTTTTGTATCATAGAAGTAACGTTGAAACTAGTCTTCACGGCCGTATCCTGACGTTCGGCCACAGTGGTTTGGAAGCGGAGAGGTAGCAAACACCATTATTGTCATTGTGACTATGCTTATATATTCTGTCTTGTGTGGATTCTGACATCAAATGATTCTCACGCATCATTGCTGCCGATCCATGATCTCTACTACTCGTGATGTACTAAATTTACGCGATATCACCTTTGCGTCGAGGAGGCCACATACGGTGGAAATGACATCGTCTGTAACTAAATGTTGCTTTCTGTCTACTCTCTGGGGCACAAATAGATCCAGAGCACCGTCAACTACATGTACTGTCATGTCGGGTCACCGCTGGAAATAAGCAAGCAGATGTTCTTGACCGTCTTCGATGTGATTATGAGCATGATGTGGGGCGGCACCGTCAAGCCAGAGGATGGAGCAAACTTAGGAGAGTTGTGGCAAGTCATCAATGAGATGAGCAGAAGCGTTGTTGGGAGCCTGAATTGTCGGTGAAAGAAAAAAAATTAAAATAAAGAGATCAGTAGAAAGGGAAAAAGAAGCACTGACCTTAGTAAGAGTAGGTCGTAGTTCTGGTATCAATCGAAAGGTTAGGTCAGCAGTAAGAGCTTTGGTTTGTTTTGGTAACAACTCACCTCTTACCGAGTATGACGTGGTAAGAGGTTGGTAAGTCGGTAGTAAGTGGGCCCTTAGCTTTTTCAGAAAGCATGTAGCTTTCTAAACCATAGTCAGACTTGGCAATTTCAGAAAGCACTTAGCTTTTTGAAGATTTCTTCTGAGCAACACTTGGTGCATACCTTTTTTGGTCCCGGGCGCTACCCCTAGGTGCCCGCTAAGGGGACGCGGCCCACTTGACCCCCACCATAAGGTGACATTTGGTTACTCCGGGTTCTAGTTTTAGCTAGCTTCTACAAGTGTGCACTCCGCACCCCTAACTTGTATTAGAGCTTAACCATCAACAGTACAATTTCGTTCTTAAATCCAATTACATAAAATGGCCTGATGATTCACTAAAATCACCAACATACTTTTTGTTTATTGTAGGAGCTACTTAGGGTAGTGATTCCAAGTCCTTGTATATATGTGTATCCTCTTTGATCAATGAATGACAGAAAAACATTCTCAATTGTCATGGTATCAGAGCTGACCTTGGTCACGTCCATGCTGCAATTCATCCCGTCAGCGCCACATCATAGGACCCTCTTGTGACCTGATCAACTCATCAATGTTCAACCAAGGTCAAACTAGGCATAAAAGTCAACCCCCAACGATCATAAGCTTGAACACTCGATGGTTCTTAACGCGGAAGATAAATCATATCCTCATTCATCAATCATGATGAATCATGAAGTGATAATCTTGAAACAATATAATGAAACAATAGATATAGGACACGACACCAAGATTCGCGTGGAAACCTAAACGCGGAGAAACCCACGGGTGGAGGAGGCCATCGAGAGGAGTCCAATAATATGTAATGAAGTTACAATTGATATCCAAAAAGAAACACTTGTGAAATTGTGTTGGAGTTACAAGAGCTTCAATAAGGTTTTGGGAGTATTTTAGTATGAATGTTGAAGGAGATAACTGGCAAAGAAACCTAGAAAAGGCAACAAAACCCATCAAGTGAGGGAGGCAAATGCGACCTTTGGTCGCATGTTGTAGCTTTGCAGGTTCAGTTGATTGCTTCATGCGAGTTGCCGTAGCTCGCAAGACAGGTCGAATAGATGTTAGCGAGTACAACTGGCCAGGCCCAAGTCGCATGCTTCCACAGCTAGCATATTTGGAGATGCATTCAACAATACATGTGCAATGGGAAGAATATTTGGATACATGTTTTATGGGGTTTTGACGTATGACTAGATCCGAGGCCTTCGGAGGTCAGCATAGTCATACAGTGGAAAGAAAACGCTACCAACTGTTTATTAGGCTAAGGGGTATGATGCTTGTTGGAGATATCGGTGCAATGCGGGAATGACAGAAAAAGGATTGATGTATGAGTATGCTGCGTATTGAAGACACATACATACTCATATGCTGGAAAAGGAAAAAGATTACCATTTATACTGTTCATCCAAATAAGAGTTTCATGATAGGAAATATTGTCTTAAAAAAGTGTTCACTTTAAAAAATAGATGGTTATAATTTACTAAATTTCTAATTTCACCCTTATTTATGACTGACGAATATTTACTAGTTGATGAGATGGAAACAAAAAGAGAGAGAGTGAAGGATTGACTACCATTAAGGGTAAAATTGTCATTCAGTTAGTTAAAAGTGTAATAATTATATACTTCTAAAGCTAATGTGATTTTTTTTTTTTATCGTGGACCTTTATCTCAGATAGGGATATTTAACTGAATTTTCTTTGTTTTGTTTTGTAACATGAAAGTACTTGAGCCTAATATGCAATTTGCTGTCATCATCTTGTCTTTGACATCCATACTTGAAAGTAGATAGGGAAAAATGAAGTTGAATTTTCATTGTTATAGAACCTTGGGGCGCTGCAACAAAAGGATACTGGCAATTAGTAACATTTGTTTACTTGTCTTGTTGTTTTGACGAGAGTTTTTTTTATGGAATATGCGGACTTCAAGCTCATCGGAAATATCTATGATTAGCTTATATTATGATAATGATTTATGTTATGGTGTATACACTATTTGCCTGCATTTCCACCAATCTTAGTGCTCACTGCAGTATAATACTCCTTCGGGCACAAAATACGTTATACGTGTCCACATTTCTATTTAAGTTTATCCCACAATAGTTGTCCACTTTAAAAAATAGATGGTTATAATTTACTAAATTTCCAATTCTACGTTAATTATGACACAAATATTTTAGAGTTGATGAGGGAGAAATTCCATACAGGTAAAATTGAAATCCAGTTAATTAAAAAGTTTTACAATTACATATTTCTACACGACTAAAACTATGTACTTTTTTATTGTGGACATTTATTTTGAGATGGAGAGAGTAATGTTTATAAGGTATCATGTACTTGGGAGTAATTGTTGCATGTAATGTCTTTTGCAGTTCAGGTTAGCATTCATTTCTCCTGAATCAAGAGTTGTGGGTGCTGGAGCCTTGGTTGACCATCCTAAACAAATTGCAATACATTATCTTTCTGGATTTTTTTTCTTGGACTTATTTATTGTATTACCACTTCCTCAGGTAAAAAAAACTCTTTCAAGCTTTATAGTATTTCTTATCGTCATCATTTGTGCATTCCTCATAAGTTAATTACTTCTTCATGCAGATCATCGTATTATTTATCCTACCAAATGCCATTGCATCATCGGGAGCTAATCATGCAAATAATCTTTTGCGATCATCTGTTCTTGTTCAGTATGTTCCCAGGTTATACCGATTTCTGCCTCTTCTTGCTGGCCAATCTCCAAGTGGTTTCATATTTGAGTCGGCATGGGCGAACTTTATCATCAATCTTCTGACTTTTGTGTTGTCTGGTCATGTTGTTGGGTCATGCTGGTATCTCCTTGGGTTACAGGTAAGTGAGAATCCTGAATTGCTTGGCCATGTTAGCAACCATAAGGTAACTCATTTTTTTTAAGCTTGTTGAAAAAGCCCTGTTTGGTAAGCCACAAACTAGCTTTTCGAAAGGCCACTTTAGATAGCTTTTCAATAAGCTCCAAGGGCTTTTTTCACCTTTTTCCAATTATGCCCCTTATATATTAGAATTGAGTAATTTTTCAACGTGTCATTTTAGATCATTTCACATTGTCATGTAGCTTATCAACTAATTTCTAGCAAACGTGACTCAGCAAGCTTATCTGCCAACAACTAGTTTGCCAAATACAGCCTTTATGTATGCCTGAATCACAAAATTGTAGATAATGTGAATTTATTTTTTACCATAAAATAGGGTTAGGTATTGACTGCAGAATTCTAAGGGAATCGATATATGAAGATTGCTGATTATATTTGTTTGTGCTTTCATTTCATCCATGCTGTTATACATGTGATTTATAGTCTTTGAAAGTTTGTAGTTTATTCTTACTCTGTTTTCTTTAATTCTTTCAAGAGAGTGAATCAATGCCTTCGAGATGCTTGTCGTAACTCTGGGATCAAACATTGCATGAAGTTTATAGATTGTGGGCATGAGAATTTTGGGAAATATGCAGCGGAACCGACATGGAATAGCTGGATACAAAATGAAAATTCCAGTGCTTGTTTTAACGAAGATGGTTTCCCTTATGGAATTTACATGAAGGCTGTTAAACTCACCACTGAACCTAGTGTAATTACAAGATACGTCTACTCCTTTTTTTGGGGGTTTCAGGTACTAATTTGTTTATGTGTCGTCAACTCTTTCTCCTTAGTTTTTTTATCAGGCCTTTTCAGTTACCTTTTTGTATCTTCTTGCATCACATTGTGTATATAAGCATACGAGGCAACAATAGGGTGATCTCGTCAAGGTAGGACAAGAGACATTATGAGAAACAAAGACCAAGAACACATGACTATATAGGATTAGAGCATCTTCAACTATTTTATGTAACTTTTTGTTCAAATAGTTTCATAGAAGCAACAAGGATAACAAGAAGAAAGTAATTATCCTAAATTGGTAGGGTATATACATCACTGATTCTAACACTTTTATGATTAATGCAACAATATTATTTTTAGGGAAGATATCTGCTCATCATCAAAACAACCAGATTATCAACAAATAAAATCAGCAATTTACTTGTTTTTGTTGGAGTCCCACATCGGCTAGACTTGGACTATTTCTCCTGTATATATGTTGGAACCTCCCCTTCCTCCTTAAGGTTCTTTTGGAGAGTGATATGAGAGTTCCACATATTCTCACATGGTATCCCAAGGCCTGCCACTCTAGAGACTTGACACTTTGGCTAGCCCCCTCTCGACACCCAGGGACAATCTGTGTCCATCTAGCCTCTGTTGGAGGGGGCGTATTAGAGTCCCACATCAGCTAGACTTGGACCATTTCTCCTGTATATATGTTGGAACCTCTCTTTCTTCTCAAGGGCTCTTTTGGAGAATGATATGATCTCATACACGTATTCTCACAGTTTTTTTTGTCAATATTTTGTTCTGCTAGATTAGTGTATACATTTATATATAAATAAGTGTATAGGCTAAAAATCGGTATTTTTGCTGCATTTTAGGGCTACTAATTAGGTTGTATGTTGAATATATATAAGGAGAATTCTTCTTAAAGGGAAGACACCTTTTTCCCAGAAATATCTAAGTTTGTCATGGTATCAAAGCTAGTTTCCATCTAATTCTAGTTAATCTTGATCAAGTTCTCGTGTCATCATGTCTTTAGGCAAGTGTAGTGTTTTCTTGGTTTATTTTAGTAGCAAAAGCTACCGGCCTAGGCTTTCTATTTCGAGATTTTTTTAAGGGGAAGGACTTAGGGTTATTTAGGAGAATAACCTTTTGACATGAAAGGCATTATGTAGGGTAATGGATGGTGAGATAACAATCGAACCTTTCCCTGCAATGACCGAGAGAGATCCATCTACAGCTATAACTTTTTGACAGCCAGAACAAGGAAAATATGTAAGAGGACCCAATCACATGATCAGTATCCCTAAATCTATGATCCAAGGGCTTGATCTTTCAAGGGAGATACCGTGGGCAGTAGGGTAGATACCTGTCTGAGGCAAAGAGCTGGATGGGATTGTGTCTGATATGTTTGTATTCTCTTGAGAATTCAACAGTTGTGAGTCTTTGGCCTCCTAGGAGGTTAGGGGTTCAAATCTCACCAAAGTTGAGGAGAGTGTGTGGGTTTATTTGTTCTATTTGCCATATATAAATATTATATACTTCAACAAAAAAAAGGTTTACTAGAAGGCTGGAAGCCTGCTGGTTTTCTGTGAAGTTCTCGCATTTAGCCTTGACATGTCCAGGTCTATGGCAATGATCACATATTAGATGATCGGCTTCTTCAAGTGCCATAGCTAGAGTTAGGTCAGATGTCATCAAGACTGAGGTTTCCCTGGATGAAGTTCTGTATGCAGAATTCCCTCATCCCATCAAGACTTTGCAGCAATTTCCCTCTCTTCAAACATTAGTAAACACCTCGCAGGTGCTTGAGTGGCGTGACCAAGAATCCTCGAACCTTATTGAGTACTTCACTTAATCCGGCCAGAAATTGGAAAACCCTGATTTTAGTTTTCTAACAACATCATGTTAATTTTAATCTTCAATGTACCATCGATATTTATTCTTTTTCAGTTCCTCCAATTAATGATAAAGTCACGATTTTTGAGAACCTTATAATGAGGATTCCTATTTGATCCAGTTTCCTTTACTTAGATGGAAGGTAACAATAGAGTTGATTCTAATCCTTTTCATTGGCTGATGATTATGAGAAGCAAATCAGCACACTGGCTGGCAATCAAACTCCAAGTTATTTTGTGTGGGAAGTCCTTTTCACTATGGGTATCATTGGCCTTGGACTTCTACTTTTTGCCCTTCTTATTGGAAACATGCAAAACTTTCTTCAAGGTCTCGGACGCAGGTAGACCTGTTACTCTGATAATTATTCTGCTTATAAACCCTTACTCATCCAAGATGTTTATCAACAGTTCTTCAATAAACATGATCCCTGGAGTTCACACATTTGATATTATCTTAGGCGGCTGGAAAGATCACTTAGACGACGTGATGTTGAGCACTGGATGAGCCACCGACACTTGCCAGAAGACCTACGAATGTATAGACTCCTGCCTCCTTATATTTTCTCATCTTCAGTAGTTATCACTTATTTGCAGTACTCCCCTTTATGGTAAAACTTCAAGTTTAACCTTAATCTTAACATCTTCGTATCTTATTTTCGTCTATATGTTGTCTTTGGATATTTAATCTTGATCCAAATGTCGGTCAAGGTGTTTAATTATGAGATGTTTTTAATTTGCGTATCATATGTAGTGATTTCTTAATCTTTTTCCTTGAATGGTACTCCTTCCTCCCAAAGTAAATGTCCACAATGTAAAAGGCACAAACTTTTAGAAAGTTGTAATTATTACACTTTTTAATTAACTAAATGGCAATATTACTCTTAATAATAGAGGGATTTATCTATCTCATAATTAAGGGTGGAATTGGGAAGTAGACCCTTATTTTTGGTACCGAGGGTATATCATTCTTTTTATTGTATATGTATGCTTAGACATTATTCTTTGTAAGTAGTGCAAAACATCAAACTAGTTTTAGTCTTCTGTCTGCCAAGGTAATATGGACTTGCATCTTGCTTGCTGGATGGTTTTGTAGTTGTATTGTTTTTGAAATGATGAAATCCTTAGTGTGCTAACTGCTAATGACTCTTCTTTCTGATAGTGTTTTGCATTAGTCTAGTTTTGATATCTATTGGCTCAAAATTTGACCATATGTTGACTTGGATATGCAGAAAAGTTCGAGAGTCGGAGCGTTATAATTGGGCTGCTACCCGCGGGGTTAATGAAGAAAGGCTAATGGAGAATTTGCCTGAAGATGTGCAAAGATACATACGCCGGCACCTCTTTGAGTTTATCAAGAAAGTGAGCTTCAATTTTATTGGCTATCAAGTAGTTAGGCCCAATGGCTGATGTGCATGGTCAGCAATTTATAGATACACAAGGCCTGGGCTTTTTCGGGCCTGGGCCCGGGCCTTCCAAGCTTGTTTTCAGTAAGAACAAAAAAGCACGGGACTTCAAAAGCCTGGACCGGGCTTTCTCGGTCCAGGCTTTAACAGGGGCTTAAAAAATACTTGTCTTATTGGGCTTTTTGGTTTGGCCCAGAGTGGGCCGCCCCAGGTTCAGGCTTACAAGGCCAAACTTCTATGGGCCAAGGGCTTCAAGTCAGGGTATTTTTGTGCATCTCTAGTCAAGATCAACCGTATGACAACTTAATCCTCGAGGGACCTACTACATGTGAGGGGTCATGCTAAGACTAGTGTTCTTGTCCCCGGAAAATATATCATATATGAAGAGCTTATATGATATCGGGTTACTGTACTCATGACCAACTAGTTTTGTGTTGCAACCCTAGAGGTTTTAACAAGTATATATTATAATTCCTAGTAAATTACAATTTTGGTCCTCGGGGTTATACGAAAATTATGGATAAGGTCCTTAAGTGAAATAATTACAAGGGTGGTCATTGTGGTTTTAATTTTGTACGTACACTAAGGTGGATTGCATTTTGTGTATCAAAAGTTTGCATAACATAAGTTATAGTGTGAATATGCGACCTCGGGTCGCGTAGCCTAGGTCGCCGATTGTGGTTTGAGGAACATCCAACATACAAAACTCCACCTTGATGCACAAAACTTTGAATACGACTTCAAAGCCATATTTCCAAACACATCATCGCAAGATCAAACTCTACAAAACGAGTATAGCACAACACTAGGTATCTAAATACATGTCAAACTGAATGCCAAACAGAGCCCATATGTGCATATACAACAAAAACAAGTTACTAACCAATACTCCACAAGGATGTTGCTATGACACCACCAAGATCTTCTCTTCCCAACAACGTGCCAGGGGCTATGGCATAGCCTCAAATGAATCAACTTCAAACAATGCTCGAGTTTACATGATGATAAGGGCTTGGTGAACATATCCGCTAAAAACTCAACGCATCAATCACATTGATGTGTTCAGTTCTTGAGCTGAACGCCAAATTCTTTGCCAAGTGAATAGCATTTTGTCTATCATAACCAAGTGCTCACCTGATCCCCAATCACCAAAAGCTCCTTCAAATGCGTAGCTTTCTTAGCAGCTTCCATCGCGACTGTCAATTTATTTCTTAATTGACAAGGCAATGACAGATTGCAAATGTGATCTCCAACCAATGGTAGTTCCACGTATAGTGAACACATACCCTGAAGTGGACTTCCACGTCACTCGATCACTTTCATAGTCGGAATCACAATATCCAACTATATCACATTCGTCAAATATAAGCCATGAGACGAGGTTCGTATCAAGTAGCAAAGAATCATCTTCAGCGCAATGTTATTTCCCCGTATTTGCAAGAAATTGGCCAACCACTCAAACACACTATGCAAGACGAGGATGGGCACTCAGCATGATGCACATCAGACTCCCGACTGCACTGGGATAAGGAGTCTTCTCCATCTTGGCCTTGTCTTTTCGCCTTAAAGTGATTACCATCCCTGACTTTGCAGATCCATTTGCAACCAATAGCTTGGCTACCATGAGGTATCGGACAAAGCACCCAAGTTTTGTTTTTCATGAGAAACTCCATTTTCTCTTCAATGGCCCCAAGCAACTTAACACTTTTGCTTAACTTCACAACTCTACTAGTCAAGCGGCTCGTACCATACAATATGCAAGGCAAATTCTAGTTAATTAACAATACACATATTGACACACTTCCAATCACATGTTTGTTTAGTGATCAAATAGATCTTTGGCTTCACCTCAGTGGTAATGGTTCCAAATGTTCAGGATCTTCACTTCGGTTCACTATCCCTTCTTGATGAACAGAGACAACTTCAGGACTAGATGCTTCACATGGGCTAACATCGGTATCAAAATCAAAAGTAACGCCATGAGAGGAGGGTGTTGAAACAAATGGACGAATAAGGATCGTTTCTCCTTGGCTACAAGAGAATCTTCCAAGATCCTTAAACATGGGCAAATCAAGTCAACATTGGGTTGTGAACTCTGACAAGACTTCAAGAGAGCCGACTCACTGAATGTGACATGTCTCGAGTGAATCACTTCGCATGTAGATGGGTTCCGAATATGATAACCCTTCACTCCGTGTATGTAGCCAAGCAGTAATCCTTGGGTGGCCTTCTGATCCAATTTGCTTTTCCCATTCGTTTTATCTTAAACCGGACTTCCAAACACTCAAAATATACTTCAAACATGCATTCTTATTGCTTGTCCATACCTCCTCCGGAATCTTACCTCCAATAGTTGAACAAGGTAATTTATTGATTATGTGCACCGCCGCGTTCAATGATTTTGGCCCAAAACAATTTGAGGAACACCAAATGTCCTTAACATGCAACGAGTTTTCTCAAGCAAGGTCATGTTCATCCCTCTTGGCTACCCTATTAAATTGAGGACCAAGAGGTGTTTGGTTGTGCCGATGAATTCATTATTCTTTACAGAAGTCTTTTAAATCGCCGCTAGTGAATTCACTTCCTTTATCAGATCATAGCACTTTCAACTTCCTATCAGTTTCGATTCAGGCACGTGCTACCCAAGTCTTAAAATCTCGAAGACATCTAATTTATGTGTAATCACATACATCTAAGGTTTGTTTTCCATCACACTATCTGAACTAAAATCCAGGCTACTCAGCTCATCGACCTTAATCAACTTTCTTTTGTGCAAGACACCTAAGCTTTTTTCGAATGTGTGGTCAAGTCTCAAATGCCACAAATGAGTAGCATTGAGCTCTCTAGAACTATCCTTCTCCACACATGTTATGATGTCACAGTTTCACCAACCAAATGATACAAAACCTTGTGTGCCTATTTCACTCTTCATCACAATCATGTTGCTCTAGAGACCCTCATACATTCCCCATTATTGTTAATATTGCAACCAAGTCTCAGTAATTGCTCAACCAATATCAAGGAACAATTCATTGTCGACACATACTTTACAACTTTTAAAGTGTGTATGCAACCATCAAACATTCTAATCCTGCCTATCCAGATGCCTAACAATTACATGAGGATATCATTTCCTTCTTGTTCATCAGTGAGGTGAAACTATCTTTGAATGTTTTCATATGGCATGAGACTCTGGTATCAACACCCAATGCCTATCAACTAATGATGGTGTGAACAACACTGCAAAAGCATCATCCTTAATTGCTACCGAAGAAGATTCACTAGTGTTTTTTTATTTCTCTTTTAGACTAGGGTAATCTTTTACCCGGTGGTCGTGTTTGTGACAATAACTGTAATTGTCACATGTACTTGATTTCCCTTTAGACTAGGGCAATCTTTTACCCGGCTTCTAGTTCTTCCGCTTTGATCATCTTTGTCTTTATCTGCAATAAAGGCCTAACTGTTTCCTTCCTCCTTGGAACTGTTTCCGACCCTCATATGTTCCTCAAGTCTTCACTTAAAAAAATGATATCTCTATCATTCATGTCGGGAAGTTTATTGTCAACCAATGGCACGTTTGTTGCTTTCATCTTCATGACAAGGTCTTCAAAGACTTAAAAGTGTGCTTTGATTGTGGTTATTTCTTTCACCGTAAACAAAAGACGAGACCGCATCAAAATTAACTTGTTCGTCAACTATTTCTTTGAATATCAAATTATCTACCATTTCCATCTGCAGTATCGTGAACACCCATTGTTTCCTCAAGGCGTCTTTCATAGTAAATTGTCATTCCCAAATCAGCTTCACTATTCCAAATCTTCATCTATATACCAGCGTCGTTAGATAAATTTTACAGACCTTTTTGAGGTGGATGGGTTGCTAAAAGGATTTCCTATCTGGTTAGACAATGTCTCAAACATTTTTCAAATACTAAGTGTGCAAACTTAGATGCACTAACAATAAACTAGCCCAAAAACTCTCATACTAGTTGTATACTATGGGTTGAATAGCTCACCAAAAAACCACAAATTATCCCTTTCGCACACATGATGGACATTATGAATATTTGGTGATGTCGTTTGGCCTCACAAATGCCCCGGCTACCTTCCAAGCAGCGATGAATGATATTTTTCGTCCTTGGTTACGAAAAATGGTGGTGGTTTTCTTTGACGACATTTTGATATATAGTCCTTGGGAAAAACATTTAGGCGATTTAGAAGTTGCCTTGAAAGTGCTGGAACAACACCAGTTTGTAGCTAACAGGAAAAAATGTTCATTTGGTCAGCGGTCAGTGGAATACTTCAGGCACATTATTAACGGTGATGGAGTTGCAATGGATCCTAAAAAAATCGAAGCGGTGTTAGCTTGGTCGGTGCCTAAACAGATTAAAGGATTGCATGGGTTTCTGGGTCTCACCGGTTATTACCGGAAGTTCATCAGAAATTACGGGTGCATAGCTAAGCCTCTAACTGATTTGACAAAGAAGGATGCTTTCACTTGGCATGAGGGGCGCAAGAAGCTTTTGACCGGTTAAAAGAAGCCATGGTTACAGCCCCATTTTTGGCTCTTCCTGATTTCAACTTTCCTTTTGCAGTGGAGTGTGATGCCTCAAGGGATAGGGGCAGTATTGATGCAAAATCAGAAGCCTATTGCTTACTTCAGCAAGGCTTTAAGTGATCGTAACCTGGTCAAAGCGGCTTATGAACGGGAGATAATGGCACTGGTGTTAGCTGTCTAGCATTTGCGGTCTTATTGGGAACTACTTTCATGGTTTACACGGACCAAAAAAATTTGAAGTTCTTACTTCAACAACGAATCACGAGTCCGGATCAACAGAACTGGGTGGCGAAATTGTTGGGCTATAATTTTGATATTTGCTACAAACCGGGCCGGGAAAATCGGGTTGCGGATGCTTTGTCTCGTAAAGTTGAGGATGGGGAGTTGTTGAGGGTTATATCTCAGCCTCTATGGTTACAGGGAGCAGAGTTGATCGAGGAACACAAGGCTGATGCAGAGATACAATGCATTTTTCGTGATTGTCTTAACCAAGTTGGTGCTCATCCGGGGTATACGGTTCGAAATGGGGTGCTATATTACAAAGGCAGGTTAGTTATTCCAAAAACTTCGAAGTACATTCCTTCTCTGTTAAAAGTATTCCATCGGTCAGCTTCGGTGGGTCATTTAGGGTACTATTGTACATATCGGAGTTTAGCAGGGAACTTGTACTGACCAGGAATGATTGAAAGAGTCAAACAATTCGTTCGAGCTTGTGATGTCTGTCAGCGGTGTAAAGCGAGTTCGACTGCTCCGGGAGGGTTGTTATAGCCTTTAGATATTCCTGATGTTATTTGGGAACATTTATCAATGGATTTTATCTTGGGATTACCTAAGTCAAAAGGATTTGATCCGATTTTAGTAGTGGCGGATAGATTGTCGAAATACAGTCACTTTATCCTGCTTAAACACCCGTACACTGCCAAGTCTGTGGCTGATATTTTTGTAAGAGAGGTGGTTCGCCATTACGGAATTCCCATGTCTATAGTCAGTGATCGTGACCCGTTATTTTTGAGCCGGTTTTGGCAAGAAATTTTTCGTTCTCAGGGTACTGAACTGCACATGATTTCAGCCTATCATCCGGAATCTGATGGTCAAACGGAGGTCATTAACTGCTGTTTGGAAACATATCTGCGATGCTTCGCAGTGGATCAACCTCGTTCTTGGTCATTATGGATCCCTTGGGCAGAATTTTGGTACAACTCAACCTTTCATGAATCAACTGGAAAGTCCCCTTTGAAGTAGTGTATGGCAGGAAACCTCCAACAGTAACACAGTTCATACCGGGTGAAATCCGAGTTCAACAGGTGTTAGATGAATTACAAGATAGAGATGAAGCATTACGGCAACTTTGTGTTCATCTGTTACATGCTCAAGAAATTATGAAACGGAATGCAGATAAGAAGCAAAGAGAAGTGCATTTTTCTATTGGGGAGTGTATGTGAAACTAAAGCCGTATCGACAGCTTTCTGTGGCTAGTCGAATCCATCAGAAGTTGGCAGTGCGTTTTTTTGGGCCGTTTCAAATCACAGATAAGATTGGACCTGTGGCATATAGGTTGCATTTACCTCCTACTTCAAAAGTACATCCTGTGTTTCACGTGTCATTGTTAAAGAAAGCTGTCCATCTGAATTGGATTTAAATACTGCTGATCTGATCATTCCTGCTGCTGTATTAGCATCTCGTACGGTCAAAGTTCATAATGAAGATGTGGTGCAATGGTTGATTCAATGGAAGGGTAGCCCGGTGGACGAGGCAACGTGGGAAGAGGCCTTATCGATCCAAAGTCAGTTTCCGGATACAAGTCTTGAGGACAAGACTTTGTTGGAAGGGGGGAGTAATGATACGGGTGGGGAATTAATTAGTCCAATGCAAACAAACCTAGGATATTAAAGGTGTATTCTAGAAGGGTAAAAAGGGGAAATGACAACAAAGGGAATGAGGCAAGTGGCTGAGGTCAGTTAGAAGAGAGAGAAGAATAAAAGGGAAGGAAGATCCCATAATCTTTCATTCGGTTATTTTTCATTCATGGTTGTTTGAGGCTCCAACCTTATGGTTGTGAGAGAGGGATTATCCCTGGACTTTTGATTGTAATTTTGTTCATTCCAAGTTTTCAATTCAAACCATACCCTTCTTCCTTGTCTTCAGTGTTCAATTGTTCTTTCAAGTTTCAATTCCGTATCAAAATTGAACTAGCATATTCCACTCCAAAGTAGGCTATGAGGTGGGATGTACGCAGACCTATCCTCCCTCAAAGAGTAGAGTGGTTGTTTCCATGAAGTCTCTCAGCTTGTGCTGGTTCCGATTGTCTTGCTCTCTCTCCCTCTCTCTATATAAGTAAATAAGGAAACCTACCATATTTACACATAGGAAATATTACATAAATATATTTCATACTATCAAGTAGGTCTGTATATAATGTTTTTATTTTTTATTTTTATAAATGCAATGTTTTGAAATAAACCAAACCAATCAAGGCGGTACGTCCCACCAGAAGGTGGGGTCTGTGGGGGTGAGATGCACGCAAACCCGAACTCCACCACTGCATGAACTCCACCCCTACATGAACTCCAATGTTGGTTTTTGTGAAGACTTTGGCTTGTGCATAGTGTGAGAAAAAAGATGCTGAAAAAGAACATTCAAAATAGAAGAACTTGAAAAACGGAAAGGCAGTGTTGCTTATTTAAATACTATTAAAAATCTAACATACAATCAAAGAAAACGCGCAGGCAGTGGCCAAAAGCTCTCCTTGGGTCTCTTTGAGGATGCTTGTCATGATATGATCTATAGACGATCCTCTAGAGATGTGACTTGGGGATATGCTTAACAATATCCATGTTTTCTGAAAATGATCTACCGACCATGCACAGATCATTAAAATTAACTCTCTGTGGTTCAACTTGTAGGTACGAATTCTTGCACTAATGGATGAACCAATTTTGGATGCAATATGTGAAAGGTTAAGGCAAAAGACATACATCGAAGGATGCAAAATGTTATATCAAGGAGGGCTTGTGACGAATATGGTGTTTATTGTAAGAGGGAAGATGCAGAGCATCGGAGAAGATGGGAATAAAGTTCCACTGTTGGAGGGTGATGTATGCGGCGAAGAACTTCTCAAATGTTGCCTTGAAGATTCCTCTGTTATTGGAGGTATAAAAATGTTTTATGATCATATTTTACATGTTTGGTGATTGAATTTGAGCATGCTTGGTATTTTTGCATTTTTATCATAAACTATCTAACATTGAATTGGATTCCATAATAATATATGCCTATCTATCTGATATTGAGTTGAATTCCATGATCATTCTCCCTCCATCAAAAAGTAAACGTCCATAGTGAAAAAGGCACAGTTTTTAGATATATGAAATTATTACACTTTTTAATTAACTAAATAACATTTTTACCTTTAACAATATAGGAAGTAATGAATTTCTCCATCTCATAATTAAGGGTAGAATTGGAAAGTACGCACTTATTTTGGGACAAACTTAAATAGAAATGTGGGCACTTAATTTGGGATGGAGGGAGCATTTGCATATCTTCCTTATTGCACATATTCCCTATTATTATTTTTGTTTGCAAAGTGGGGGGCCTTTACGGAAACAGCCAGCTCTCTACTCCTTAGGGTAGAGACAAGGTCTAAGTACATCCTTCCCCATCCTACATCTATGTGGGATATACTAGTCTCATTTGGTCTGGTAACCATTAGGTGACTGATGTTTATCAAAATAAAAACTATCTTAGCTAGTTGAAATGATCTATGTCTATTTTCACATTCACTACACAGGCATATATTTTGATTAACCTGGATATCCAACCTGCTATGCGAGCCGACTAATCCCAGGGCGACCACCTGCTTTGCGGGTAGCCCAGAGTCACTTCATTTGAACCTCCGTGGCCACAAGGGGATTTTTATTCCTCCTTGGATTTGAACCTAGGACCTCCCAGGCACTTTTGACCTTTGGAGCCCAAGCTCAAACCAATCAGGCACCACCCTTGTGATTAAGCATATAAAGTGTTGCATCTGCTGCATGAGAGATTCTATCTTATGACTGTTATTTTTAGGAACAAGACTTGGATTTGAACCTAGGACCTCCCAGGCACTTTTGACCTTTGGAGCCCAAGCTCAAACCAATCAGGCACCACCCTTGTGATTAAGCATATAAAGTGTTGCATCTGCTGCATGAGAGATTCTATCTTATGACTGTTATTTTTAGGAACAAGAACCTATATTGATGTGTTTATGTTCTCAATATAATGTTACAGATACAAGAAACCAGTTAAAATCGAAATACATATTGTTTAGCAACAGGACGGTGGAATGCTTAACAAATGTTGAGGCATTTGTTCTTCAGGCTGCGGATCTTGAAGAAGTCACCAGCCTTTTTGCTGGATTCTTAAGGAATCATCGTGTTCAGATTGCCATAAGGTAAAGCATCTTTTACACAATATTCATGCATCATTTATGAACTAATATAGGTGAAAGATTTTAGAAAGAGGGTGAAGGACGAGAAGTTCTGGAGAATTTTGCGCCATATGTATACATTTCCCTATAACTGCCAGTGACGGGTTTTTCCAACTGCTTTTGTCAGGTTTATAAATATCCGAAAACACATATAATTGTATAAATAAATTCGGAGCTTCAAAGAAGATCCCCAAGTCCCATCTTTTGACCATTATATATAGGGGAAAGTCCATGTAGGAACTGTAAGAACCCCCCAATTCATAATGAATATAAATAGATATTATTCATCATGAATATATGTAATTTAATAGATAATTAAACATTTTATGTATCACTTGATAAAATTTCCGCTCTTCTTTCCATGTGGGACCAAATCCACTCAAGTTCCAACAAAATTGACATGATTTACTCATGGGCCAAACGTAGCATTTTAGTTCTAGCTAACATATCTAACATAAAGGAAGAAGGTTGACAAAACATGCATGCTAGGAAGCTCTTTCTCTAACAAAAGCATTAGAAGCACGTGAACTAGAAGGCTTGAAAATTCACAAAGAAGGAACTTCTAAAGAATACTATTTGGGGACCGAAAGAAACAATCATTATCCTTTATCAACTGATGAATGAACAATAAGTTGCAACGGATAGAAGGAACTTTTGAAGAATACTGTTTGAGCGATAGGAGTTGTTAGAGTGAAGAAGATGGCTACAAACTTGAGATATATGAAAGGGATGTGCTTTTCATCAATGATGATGCCATCAGTACATGAAGACGGTTGAGATTGGATTACTAATCAACCATCTAAGTTACTCTAAGTAATACTGCTACTGTCTCATAAAGCTTGCAGTATGATACCTTTCAGTAGATGCATTTGATTATTAGTCACCTATCTAAATTATATGTGGGATGTTTTCAATCTAAATTGATACCATCAATTATTTTGAATGGTGCATTAAGTAATTCTAGCATGAAATCTTCCAAAAGAGAAGCACCTGCAAAAACAGTACAAACATCTCAAACTGGAAACTGTTGCAACTTGTATGGAGTTTGTAGTAGTGTGCACTTCTACAAAGAAAAGTGTAACACCCTCATTTCCATCTCAAGGTTTTGTGTCATTCATAGCATAAATCTCACTTAATCATAAAACATCTACCAAAATAGAAACCCCAAAGTTTCCAAAATAATATAATTCCCGTGCGGAAGTCTAACATACCAAACGTACCTCATTGTCTATAAGATAGTCCAATCCCATACCGTTACAATTAGTTCTTTTAGCAATTAGTCATCTCCAATCCCTCGTCATATTGCTTATTACAAATTGCTCCTATTTTAGGGTGTTACAGAAAAAATTACCATATTCACCTTCTTACATTGTAGTAGTTGTGCACTTGTTTAGAACACAAATTTCTGAGAGTATATGAGGAACCCTTTGAAATTTCCCTTTAAAAGCCCTTACAGAGTTTCACTTTGATTATTTGTCAACCACTAAATTATTCTACTTAGGCAAAGAGAGGGAAGGTTTGTACATATATACATGTTTGATGGTCCGTGTCTAGTTGGTATGTGACCCCTACAGTTTATATTCTTGATGTGAATTAAAACAAGTTCACTTTCTATAACTATGTACTCTACACGATTTCTATGTCCAGGAACGAATCTCCGTACTGGCGAGGCCTGGCCGCAACCACTATCCAGGTCGCATGGAGATACCGGAAAAAGAGACGAAGTCGTTCAGTCACCTCACATGGCGGTGGTGGTGCTACTCGTCCCTCCAAGTTTGATTAGCCGGTAGTGTAAAAGTCTCGTTAGTTTTCATGGTTTATGAAGTTTCAATAGATGTATGTTTCACCGGAAATGTTGAATTCGGCAATATGGGTGTCTAAATGTCTCAAGTCGGGGGNTATGGAAACATTTGCTCTACTTGCATACATCCTATCTCAGATCCCACCTCCTCTTGGTGAGAGATGCTCGTTTTGTTTGGTTTGGTTTGGTTTGGTTGTCTATATGTATCATTTGGTTTGGTTTGGTATGGTTGTCTATATGTATCATTTCTTCCTGATTGTGTTTGTGGATGATGAAGTTATAATTACAAGATGTACATTTCGTCAGATTATGCCTAGGATATGATGATGTGATCGTCTCAAAGCCTTTTGAGTCGATGTTTTCTTGTAGTTTCGTGTTTGAAGTGTGTTGTATATTGTTCACGTGTGGGTTTCTTTAGCTTAAGTCGTTCAGATGCTCAGTTGACTCCTTAACCTTGACAGGAAGATGACTTGTTCAAGAATTCGTGCATAACGGTAAGGAACTTTGGATGAACTAATGCGAATGGGTGTAAGCCTTGCTGCTCTGATACACTCGGTGCTGACCACACTAAGAGACACGAAAGCGTAGGTAACGTGGCATTAAACATCCCCAGCGGTAAGAAAAGAGAAGTCGTGATGATATCATCTACRTCCGTACCGCTCCTCGTGGAGTAGATCCCGCATCCAACCAAGTCTTTGACCAAGGAACGGGATAATTTCCACAACCGCTGGCAGGCGAGTCGGGCCGTGAGAAGGGTGAGGACAGGCTTCCCAAAAAGCCATCAGGGTCGGTTTCGAGGGAGGACAGGCAAACGCCTATGCCCCATAAGAAATAGGGGCGCCAATTTTTTAGTATATAGTAGCAGGGGCGGTTCATAAAAATAGTAAATAAAATAGACACATTCTTTTAGTATCTAAAAGGATCCGAAAAGAAATTTAGTATTATATTAAGGGTCTAAACATGTAATAACTAATTACATTAGAAAAGAAAAATATGTAAAAATTTAATTGGTTTTTTTTTTGATTAACCTGGATATCCAACCCGCTTTGCGAGCCGACTAATTCCAGGGCAATCATCCGCTTTTGCAGGTACTCCGAAGTCACCGCATTTGAACCTCCGTGGCCACAAAGGGATTTTTGTTCTTCCTTGGATTTGAACCTGAGACCTCCTGACACTTTTGACCTTTGGAGCCAAGCTCAAACCAATCAGACATTACCCTTATGGTTAATTGGTTGTTTATTTTATAGTACTGTTTCTTGTTTTTTAAGTTTTCTTTATCTAGTACCAAGTCTAAGACTACTTCCTTAGAAAACTTTGATATATCTTCACCATTCATCTCTCACCGACTCTTTTGATCATTCTATCCCCATGAATTATAGTATTTTGTATTAGAAAATAATATATTTTTATTATTAATTAAGAAAACTTCTACCTTTTGAAAAAATTACCAACCATATGTGACAGTTCAACTTAAATTAATATTTATGATTTAAAAAATACCATGATTTTTTCATACATTATTAACCCCTTATTACATAATATTGAGGGCATGAATCTGAAATAATCTCATAGCTCTAAAACAAGAATAAGATACCAAACTATAACCAAAATGGGCTTTCAATTCTAAGATTTATGGTTTAAAAGAAGTTTGTTTTAACCCAAAAAATTACAACGTTGATGAAAAACATTAACATGAGGTGAGACGAAACCCAAATGATTTATATCAGTTTACATAGAGCGTTACTCCAAATAGTTAACTTAAACCACAAGGGTGATGTCTGATTGGTTTGAGTTTGACTCTAAAGGTCAAAAGTACCAGGAGGTCCCAGGTTTAAATCCAAGGAGGAATAAAAATCCCCTTGTGGCCACAGAGGTTCAAATGCGGTGACTCCGAGCTATCTGTAAAGCAGGTGGTAGCCCTGAAATTAGTCGGCTCGCATAGCGGGTTGGATATCCAGGTTAATAAAAAAAATAGTTAACTTGTATATTATCACATGTGATATTGTTAATAATTTCATGTGTTTCTTGTATAATATCACATGCTATATTGTTAGTGATTTCTTTTGTTTTAATATGTAAAATATCACATGTAATGTTATGAACAGATACATTTGTTATTAGAGATGAATACAGAAAAAAAATAATTTTTTAATAAATATATCATATGTGATATTAGGACTGTAAACGAACCGAACGTTAAGTGAACCGTTCAGCGAGAAGTTCGTTTATGTTCGTTTATTTAATAAATGAATGAACATGAACAAATTTTTTTGTTCTTTTAGTTAAACAAACGAACATGAACAAGAGTCTCGTTCGTTCATTTATGTTCGTGAATGTTCATTCATTTACGTTTGTTTATATTCGTTCATTTATATTCATTCGTTTATGTTCGTTTACATATTAATTTTAATATATACCTTTTTTTTTAGTTTGAATTCAAATTTTAAAAGGCCTTTTAAGTATATATATTAATGATGATTGTTTTGTGTATGTTTAAACTATGGATAATTGGTGTGCAATGGTTAATTGAATGACAAGTATTTGGTGTTCGTTTGTTTATGTTCATTTAGACCTGTTCGTTTATGTTCGTTTATCCTGTTCGTTTAGCATGTTAACGAAGGAACATAAACGAACACAAACACACCTGATTTCTATACGAACGAACACAATTATTTTCGTTCGTTTACCGTTCGTGTTCGTTCATTTACAAGCATCTGTTCGTGTTCGTTCTTGTTCGTTTACAGCCTTATATGATATTCGATGAAATGGTGGAAAGAATTATCTGATATCTATCGAATAAAATAGTGGAAAAATTGTCAAAATGTTTATGGAATTTAAATAATTAATTAGATAATCATTAAAAACACAAATAATCTTCATGCCCTTATTGTTTGGCAAGTTAATCACACAGAAATTCTTTGTCTTCTATTATTTTGATTATGTTCTATTTGAACCTTCCTATACACACAGAAATACAGAGCCTGTTGAAATTAGAAATATTTTGAGAACCAGTAAATTAATACTAACCAAGATTTTAAATATTAACCAAGATTTTTGTGTTAACTTTGTTAACTAAACTTAACCAATCATATTCCATCTTTTCTTTAGGTTCACCTATAACTCATATATTAATGACAAAGGTAATTAAGTAATTTGTCATTTATGTAACTCCCAAATCATTAATTGGGAGTTACAAATCTAAAAATCTCAATAATTGATGATTATGTAATATTGATATTTTTTTATACGTGTTCATGTTTTGTAATTTCGATTTATTATATCCATAAAGATATTGATTTTGTAATTGTTAAAGAATTTCCGATTGTAAAGATTTCGATATCGTCCGANATGAAAAGGTTAAAATCGTCTACGACTACAATCGGAATTCGAATTCATATGTAATTGTTAAAGAATTGTTCACAAATGTTCATATGGTGTTCATATGTACACTAGCTGCATATCTCAACATTGCATTGCTCCTGAATGTGTTCATAATGAAGGAACTATTGTTCACAAACTGTTCATATTGTGTTCATATGTACACTAGTTGCATATCTCAACATTGGCTTGCTCCTGAATGTGTTCATAATGAAGGAACTATTGTTCACAAACTGTTCATATTGTGTTCATATGTACACTAGCTGCATATCTCAATATTGTTTTGCTCCTGAATGTGTTCATAATGAAGGAATTATTGTTCACAAACTGTTCATATTGTGTTCATATCTGTTTTTTTATTTATTTACTTTCATGTAACAACTATTCTTATTATATCCATATTGTGTTCATAAATGCTATACAGTCTAACTTCATATATATGTCGATATTTGTTCGTATTTGACACAATGGTTCATACATATATATATATATATGTGTGTGTGTGTGTGTGTTCATATGGTTCTTACATTAACAAAAATAAATTAATAAAAATAATGAGATTTTTTGATTTTGTAACTCCCAATTAATGATATGGGAGTTACATAAAAAAATTACTTAAATACCCTTTTCCCCTTTGTTCACATATGTTCTTTGAAATTGTAAATTTAAAAATTTAATTTTTTATCATGATTAATCACAACCCTTTATTGTAAGAATCAATGGTCAAGATTGGTTAATAAAGTTAACACAAAAATCTTGGTTAGTATTTGAACCAAGCTTTATATATATATATATATATATATATATATATATATATAAACTTTATAATTTTCGAGATTCGTGAGATCCAATTTATACCACAAAACATTAGTTGAAAAATAAAATTTAACATAAATTAAAATTTTCTCCATCTCTCTCCTCTATCCATAAAATACATGTATAAACAAATAATGTGAATATCCATAGAAGGTGAACATATTGTTGTTGGTCCCAACCGGATCTACAAGAGTTTATAGGTAACAGTTTGTCAGAAGGAGTGGGGGGATGAATACAAACACAACAACTTTCACTTTTAAAAAACTTATATTGATAAAGAAGATCAATACAGATTTTTACAGATTGTTTAAGGAAGAGATAAGATAGAAAACTTATCTAAACAATCAAAGATAGTCACAAGTTACATATAGCAATAAAGAAAAGACTTGCTAAAAGAAATAGGTTAAGAATGTCTTGTGCTCTTCACTGGTTAGAGTGGAACTCTTAAGATAGAGAAGATGAATACTGCTGAGAAGAGAGAACTTCTCAGCTATTTATATCCACTACATTAAATGCAATTTAGAGGGTACATAACACGTGGAAAGCTTAAGAGGTGAGCTTGTCCTTTGTTGCAGATATACAAGCTTTAGCCGTATATGAACAATGTCTTTTACAAAGTAGGTAAGCACGCTTGGAGACAGTTGAGTGAATCCGTATAGTACTTTACTTTGAAAGGTATGAGTTTGTTCTTTGTGTGCAGAATGACAAGACAAAAGCTAATCTTATTCTACAAGATTCATCTGATCGCTAACACTGGAATAACACTAAGGTTTCTTCAGTGTCCACTGAATCTTGTATAGATTTCACACTTGTATAGACGAGCTTGTTATCACTGAAAATCGAATCAAATCACGAACT